GCGAAAAGGGAGGCGGATGAGGTGGTGCAGAATAGAGGAGGAATATGAGAGATGCTATCAGCAGGAGGAGGGGGGGGAAGAGAACGGAGACGGATGCGGAGGGGGAGGCGGGTGAGGTGGTGGGGAGGAGAGGAGGAGGAGGAGGAGGAGGAGAAGGAGGAGGAGAAGGAGGAGGAGGATGAGGAGAAGGAGGAGGAGGAGGGGGAGGAGGAGTAGGAGGAGGAGGAGGAGGAAAGATGAGATGAGCAGGAGGGGAGGGAGGAAGAGAACGGAGACTGTTGCGGAGGCGGAGGCGGATGAGGTGGTGGGGAGGAGCGGAGGAGGATGAGGAGGAGAGGAGGACGAGAAGAGATGATATGAGCAGGAGGAGAGGAAAGGAATGAGAACGGAGACGGATGCGAAGGGGGAGCGGATGAGGTGGTGACGAGGAGGAGGAAGAAGAAGAGAGATGAGATGAGCAGGAGGAGAGGGAGGACTGAGAACGGAGACGGACGCGAAGGGGGAGGCGGATGAGGTGGTGGGGAGGAGAGGAAGAGGAGGAAGAGGAGAGATGAAATGAGCCGGAGGAGAGGGAGGACGAGAACGGAGACGGATGCGAAGGGGGAGGCGGATGAGGTGGTGGGGAGGAAAGGAGCAGGAAGAGGATATATGAGATGAGCAGGAGGAGCGGGAGGAAGAGAACGGAGACGGATGCGAAGGGGGAGGCGGATGAGGTGCGTGGGAAGTGAGAGGAGGAAGAGGAGGAGGAGGAGAGATTGAGATGAGGAAGGAGGAGAGGGAGGGATAGGGAGGAATGATAACGGAGACGGATGGGGAGGGGAGGCGGATGAGGGTGGTGGGGGAGGAAAGGAGAGGCGGAAGAGGAGATACGAGATAAGCAGGAGAAGAAGGGGAGGACGAGAACGGCGGTAACGGATGCGAAGGGGGGAGGCGGATGACGAGGGTAAGGAGGGAGAGGAGGAGGAAGAGGAGAGATGAGATGAGCAGGGGGAGAAGGGGGAAACAGAGACGGAAATGGGAGGAGGGAGGCGGATTGAGGTGGTGGGGAGGAGAGGAGGTGGAAAGAGGAGAGATGAGATGAGCAGGCGGGCGAGGGGGAAGAGAACGGATAACGGATGCGAAGGGGGAGGCAGATGAGGTGGTGGGGAGGAGTGGAGGAGGAGGACGAGGAGAGATGAGGTGAGCAGGAGGAGAAGGAGGACGAGAACGGAGACGGATGCGAAGGGGGAGGCGGATGAGGTGGTGACGAGGAGAGGAGGAAGAGGAGAGATGCTATGAGCAGGAGGAGCGGGAGGGAGAGAACGGAGACGGATGCGAAGGGGGAGGCGGATGAGGTGGTGGGGAGGAGAAGAGGAGGAGGAAGCGGAGAGATGATATGAGCAGGAGGAGAGGCAGGAAGAGAACGGAGACGGATGCAACGGGGGAGGCGGATGAGATGGTGGGGAGGAGGGGCGGAGGAGGTGGACGAGGAAAGATGAGATGAGCAGGAGGAGAGGGGGGAATGAGAACGGAGACGGATGCGACGGGGGAGGCGGATGACGTGGTGGGGAGGAGAGGAGGAGGAGGAGGAGGAGGAGGAGGAGGAAGGAGGAGGAGGAGGAGGAGAAAGAGGAGGAGGAGGAGAGATGAGATGAGCAGGAGGAGAGGGAGACGGATGCGAAGGGGGAGGCGGATGAGGTGGTGGGGAGGAAAGGCGGAGGACGAGGAGAGATGTGATGAGCAGGAGGAGAGCAAGGAAGAGACCGGAGACGGATGCGAAGGGGAAGGCGGATGAGGTGGTGGGGAGGAGAGGAAGAGGAGAAGGAGGAGGAGAGACGAGCTGAGCAGGAGGAGAGGGAGGAAGAGAACGGAGACGGATGCGAAGGGGGAGCGGATGAGGTGGTGGGGAGGGGGGGAGGCGGAAGAGGAGATATGCGATGAGCAGGAGGAGAAGGAGGACGAGAACGGAGACGGATGCAAAGGGGGAGGCGGATGAAGTGGTGGGGAGGAGAGGAGGAGGAGGAGGAGGAGGAGGAGGAGGAGGAGGAGAAGGAGGCGGGAAAAGAGGAGAGGACGAGATGCAGCAGGAGGAGAGGAGGAATGAGAACGCAGACGGATGCGAAAGGGGGAGAGCGGATTTGGATGAGGTGGTGGGGAGGGGAAGAGGATAAGAGGAAGAGGAGACATGAGATGAGCAGGAGGAGAGGAAGGACGAGAACGGAGATGGATGCAAAGGGGGAGGCGGATGAGGTGGTGGGGAGGAAAGGAGCAGGAAGAGGATATATGAGATGAGCAGGAGGAGCGGGAGGAAGAGAACGGAGACGGATGCGAAGGGGGAGGCGGATGAGGTGGTGGGAAGGAGAGGAGGAAGAGGAGGAGGAGGAGAGATGAGATGAGGAGGAGGAGAGGGAGGAATGATAACGGAGACGGATGAGGAGGGGGAGGCGGATGAGGTGGTGGGGAGGAAAGGAGGAGGCGGAAGAGGAGATATGAGATGAGCAGGAGAAGAGGGAGGACGAGAACGGAGACGGATGCGAAGGGGGAGGCGGATGAGGTGGTGACGAGGAGAGGAGGAGGAGAGGAGAGAGAGATGAGCAGGAGGAGAGGGAGGACGAGAACGGAGACGGATGCGAAGGGGGAGGCGGATGAGGTGGTGGGGAGGAGAGGAGGAGGAAGAGGAGAGATGCGATGAGCAGGAGGAGAGGAGGAATGAGAACCGGGGGACGGGTGCGAAGAGGGAGGCGGGGATGAGGTGGTGTAGGGCAAGGAGGAGGAGGGAGGAGAGGAAGAGGAGGAGGAGGAGGAGGAGGAGGAGGAGGAGGAGGAGGAGGAAGAGGAGAGATGAGATGACCAGGAGGAGGAGGAGGCAGAGAACGGATACGGATGCGAAGAAGGAGGCGGATGAGGTGGTGGGGAGGAGAGGAGGAGGAAGAGGAGAGATGAGATGAGCAGGAGGAGAGGGAGGAAGAGAACGGAGACGGATGCGAAGGGGGAGGCGGATGAGGTGGCAAGGGGGAGCGGATGAGGAGGAGGAGGAGGAGGAGGAAGAGGAGAGATGAGATGAGCAGGGGGAGAAGGGGGAAGGAAACAGAGACGGATGCGGAGGGGGAGGCGGATGAGGTGGTGGGGAGAAGGGGAGGGGGAAGAGGAGAGATGAGATGAGCAGGCGGAAAGGGAGGAAGAGAACGGAGACGGATGAGAAGGGGGAGGCGGATGTGGTGGTGGGGGGAGGGGAGCAGGAGGAGGAGTAAGAGGAGAGATGAGATGAGCAGGAGGAGAGGGATGAAGCGAACGGAGGCGGATGCAAAGGGGGAGGCGGATGAGGTGGTGGGGAGGAGAGGAGGAGGAGAATGAGGAGGAGGAGGAGGAGGAGGAGGCGGAGAGATGGTATGAGCAGGAGGAGAGGGAGGACGAGAACGGAGACGGATGCGAAGGAGGAGGCGGATGAGGTGGTGGGGAGGAGAAGTGAAGGGGAAGGAAAAGAGCAGAGATTGAATGAGCAGGGAGGAGAGGGAGGAAGAGAACGGAGACGGATGCGAAGGGGGAGGCGGAAGAGGTGGTGGGGAGAAGGGGAGGAAGACGAGGAGAGATGAGATGAGCAGGAGGAGAGAGAGAGGAAGAGAACGGAGACGGATGCGAATGGGGAGGCCGATGAGGTGGTGACGAGGAGAGGAAGAGGAAGGCGAAGAGGAGAGATGAGATGAGCAGGAGGAGAGGGAGGAAGAGAACGGAGACGGATGCAAAGGGGGAGGCCGATGAGGTGGTGACGAGGAGAGGAGGAGGAGGAAAAAGAAAAGGAGAGATGAGATGAGCAGGAGGAGAGGGAGGATGAGAACGGACACGGATGCAAAGGGGGAGGCGGATGAGGTGGTGGGGAGGAGAGGAGGGGGAAGAGGAGATATGAGATGAACAGGAGGAGAGGGAGGAAGAGAACGGAGACGGATGCGAAGGCGGAGGCGGATGAGGTGGTGGGGAGGAGGGGAGGAGGAAGAGGAAGAGGAGAGATGATATGAGCAAGAGAGGGAGGACGCGAGCGGAGACGGATGCAAAGGGGGAGGCGATGAGGTGGTGGGGAGGAGATGAGGAGGAAGACGAGGAGAGATGAGATGAGCAGGAGGAGAGGGAGGATGAGAACGGAGACGGATGCGAAGGTGGAAGCGGATGAGGTTTTGGGGAGGAGATGGGGAAGGAGAGAAGAGGAGGAAGAGGAGGAGGAGGAGGAGAGGAGGAAGCGGAGGAGAGATGAGATGAGCAGGAGGAGAGGGAGGAAGAGAACGGAGACGGATGCGAAGGGGGCGGATGAGGTGGTGGGGATGAGAGGAGGAAGAAGAGGAGAGATGATATGAGCAGGAGAGGAAGGAAGAGAACGGAGACGGATGCGAAGGGGGAGGCGGATGAGGTGGTGGGGAGGAGAGGAGGAGGACGAGGACAGATGAGATGAGCAGGAGGAGAGGGAGGAAGAGAACGGAGACGGATGCGAAGGGGGAGGCGGATGAGGTGGTGGGGAAGAGAGAGAGGAGGAGGAGGAGGAGGAGGAGGAGGAGGAGGAGGAGGAGGAGGTGGAGTAGGAGGAGGAGGAGAGATGAGATGAGCAGGAAGGTGAGGAAGAGAACGGAGACGGATACAAAGGGGGAGGCGGATGAGGTGGTGGGGAGGAGAGGAGGAAGACGCGGAGAGATGAGATGAGCAGGAGAGGGAGGAAGAGAACGGAGACGGATGCAAAGGGGGTGGCCGATGAGGTGGTGCGGAGGAGGAGGAGGAGGAAGCGGAGAGATGATATGAGCAGGAGGAGAGGCAGGAAGAGAACGGAGACGGATGCGAAGGGGGAGGCGGATGAGGTGGTGGGGAGGAGGGGAGGGGAGTGAGGAGGAAGCCGGGGAAAGGGATGCGCACCTAGAGGAAGGGACGGAGCAATGACAACCGGGGGGAGGAAGGAAGAAGGGAAGCAACAGAGGAGGCGTACGAAGAGGAGGAGGAAGCCACGCGACACACATCACGTCGATTTTGGTCGCCCTGGGCACCAGCGTTGCCGTCTCGGTCCATGCCTCGCGGGTGTCCACAACGGGGGTGCCCTCCCTGTTCAGGGGGCTGGGCAGGAACGGGAACGGGAGCGGAAGGATGCAGAGGAGGAGAGGGGTGGGGCAAACTGGGTGAGATCGCGCCATAGTTGACATCCCCCCCCCTCCCCCCACCCATCCCTCCCCATTGCGCTGATCTTTTCTCCATCTGCCGACGTGTGCCATACAGTCAACCAGTATAGTAAGGATGCGCGATAAGGATGCAAAGGGCCTTGGACGCCCATCTCGAAGCTTTTCGAGCGGGGCGGGGCCAGCGAACGCGGCGAAGGATGGGCCGAGGAGGCAAATATGCAAGGGTACCCTTGGGAAGGTTGCCCATCCTTGCTATGCGGGTTGACTGTAGCGGACCTGCAATTCCCCAAACGGACCCTCTCGTGTCATGCGCAATGAGAAAATGTGAGCTCCGTAAATTGACGGAGGCGGTGGCGGATGAGCAGGAGGAAAAGGAGAAGGACGAGGAAGCAGGAGGAATAACAGCAACAGCAGCTGGAGAAAAAGGGGCGGGAGGAGCAAGAGGACCAGGGCAAGGCGGAGGAGGGGAAAGGAGGGGGGCGACAACGATGAAAGACTCGGATCCAGAAAAGTGGCCCGCGCTCAGGCGAGAGCGCCAGTATGGACGATGGAATCACAGCACGCTGCAGCGGAACCACCATTTTGATGCTCCGAAGTCGTTCCAATTGGGAAACAGCATCGGGAAGGCACACATTCGATATCCAGTGTCGAAAGCAGTACGGGGAGGTGAGTGGGTCACTCCGCCATCCTCGGGCGAGATCGGGAAGTAGTCTTCACATTGCGCACTTGTGAAGGAGGGGGGGGCACGATGGGAGGGAGGGGGGGGGAAAGGGGATGGGGCGGAGGAACAGGGTGGGGCCTTGGCCTTTCAGAGCTGACCTGCTCTTGGAACGACCAGCGGCGGCTGATTTCGGGCCCCGCGCGCCTGTAAAACGAGCCTAGCTTGTAAGTTGTCCTGCGCCTAAGACTTGACGGAGGAGGAAGAGGAGAAGGAGGAGAAGGAAGAGGAGGAAGAGGAGGAGGAGGAAGAGTAGAAGGAGGAGGGGAGGGAGGAGGAGGAGGAGGAGGAGGAGGAGGAGGAGGAGGAGGAGGAGGACCAGGGGAAACCCAAGAGTCACCACCGATGTTGGAATTAACCCTCCCTCCAAACCCCCTCTTCATATGCCACCTACAACGGTTCATTTCCAGTAAGGGAACCGCCTCGCTGGAGGGACAACAATTTGACACATAACTGCTGCGCCCGCATAATCCGGAATCCTTTGAACACACCATTTCTGGTACGCTGATCACGGGAATCCGTGAACCTCGTGCAAATTTAAAACACGAACGTTCGCGGCGCTAAAGCGAGAATCACATGTCGACAACGACCCGCCCTCAACCCGTGAAACCCTGGCAAATGTCTAAAACGAATGTGCGCGGCGCTAGGGCAAGAACCACATGTTGGAAATGGCCCGCCCTCAATCCGTACAACTCTTGCACATGTGTGAAGCGAATGCGCGCGGCGCTAAAGCAAGAACAACATTTTGAAAACGACCCGCCCTCAACCCGTGAAACTCTTGCAAATGTCTAAAACGAATGCGCGCGGCGCTAAGGCGAGAACCACATGTTGGAAACGGCCCGCCCTCAATCCGTAAAACTCTTGCACATGTGTGAAGCGAATGTGCGAAGCGCTAAAGCAAGAACAACATTTTGAAAACGACCCGCCCTCAATCCGTGAAGCTCTTGCAAATGTTTAAAACGAATGCGTGCGGCGCTAAGGCGAGAACCACATGTTTAAAACCACCCACCCTCAACCCGTGAAGCTCTTGTAACTGGTTAAAGCGAATGTGCGCGGCGCTGGGGCAAGAGCCGCATGTTGAGAACCGCCCGCCCTCCATCTGCGAAATTGTTGCCACTCTTGAAGCTTGAGAATCATAAATGGTGGGGGGTAAACACTAGCCTCGGGGTGCGACAGGGAGGAGTCATCTATACGTAAGGAGAAGGAGTGGAGGAGGCGGAGGAGGAGGTGGAGGAAGAGAAGGAGGAGGAGAAGGAGGAGGAGGAGGGGGGGCGCGGGGAGGGCGGATGGGGGGGGAGGGGAGAGTAGGAGGAGGAGGAGGAGAACGGGGGAGGAGGGGGGGAGGGAGAGGAGGAGGAGGAGGAAGGAGGAGGAGGAGGAGGAGGAGGAGGAGGAGGAGGAGGAGGAGGAGGAGGGGAAGAGAACGAGGAGGAGGAGAGGAGGAGCAGGAGGAGGATGTGGAGGAGCAAAAGGAGGAGGAGAGGAGGAAAAGGAGGAGGAGGAGGAGGAGGAGGGAGGAGGAGAACGAGGAGGAGAGGAGGAGGGAGGAGGGGGAAGAGAGGAGGAAGAGGAAAAAGGAGGAGGAGGAGGAAAAGGAAAGAGGAGGAGGGGAGGAGGAGAGGAGATGGAGGAGCAGAACGAGGAGGCGGGGAACGGGCAGGAGGAGGAGAAGGATGAGGAAGAGGAGGAGGTGGACGAAGTGGAGAAGGCGCCTGTAAAACGAGCCTAGCTTGTAAGTTGCCCTGCGCCTAAGACTTGACGGAGGAGGAGGAGGAGGAAGAGGAGAAGGAAGAGGAGGAAGAGGAGGAGGAGGAGGAGAAGCAGAAGGAGGAGGAGGAGGAGGAGGAGGAGGAGGAGGAGGAGGAGGAGGAGTGGGAGGAGGAGAAGCAGCAGGAGGAAGCGGAGGAGGAGGTGAAGGAGGAGGAAGAGGAGGAGGTGGACGAAGTGGAGAAGGCGCCTATAAAACGAGCCTAGCTTGTAAGTTGCCCTGCGCCTAAGACTTGACGGAGGAGGACGAGGAGGAAGAGGAGAAGGAAGAGGAGGAAGAGGAGGAGGAGGAGGAGGAGAAGCAGAAGAAGGAGAAGGAGGAGGATGAGGATGAGGAGGAGGAGCGGGAGGAGGAGAAGCAGCAGGAGGAAGCGGAGGAGGAGGAGGGGAGGATATGGATGAAGAAATGGAGACAGCTGAGGAGGAGGACGAGGGGGGAGGAGGACGAGAAGGAGTCATGCGTCGCTCAGGCGGCTGAGACGGGGGAAGAGGAGGAGGAGGAGCAGGAGGAGGAGATAAGGGTGACGAGGAGAAGGATGAGGAGGAGAAGGAGAATTAGCAGGAGGATGGGAATCAAAAACATGGTGGTGATGCGTTTTGATGATGTTGCTGATGATGATGCAAATGAGATGGCGATGAAGATGTCTATGGTGAAACTGGTGACGATAGTGATGATGGTGAGGCTGATGTTGGAGATGATGCTGATGATGGTGTGCACGCTGATGCTGCTGATGATGATGCTGACGGTGATGATGATGATTACGATGGCTATGACGATGACGATGATGTTGATGATGACGAGTGTGATGCTGGTGATTATGGTGACGACGGATACGATAGTGATGTTGACCTTGACGATGATGATGATAACGGTGATGTTGCTGATGATGATGACTGTGCTGTTGATGATGATGGTGGTATCGATGCTACTGCGGTTGATGATGATGCGTACGATGCTGGTGGTGGTGATGATGGTAATGATGGTGCTGCTGCCGATGATGGTGCTGCTGCTAATGAGGATGATGAGTTGCGAGTTGCAAGCTGTCCCGCGTGGTGGTCTAAACGACCTACGAGCGGCGTTGCTGCCCAGCCTTGCTGAGCAGTTTGGGCCACTTCCCCTCATGAAGCCTGGTCAAATACTCACGGCGATGGGGAGCGATATGCTTGGATCACTCCTTAGCCAGCTCCCGCATCTGCGAATGTGCGAAGTGGCCACACTGAGTACAAGACCATAACTCTTGCGATCTGGACAGACGCATCCTATGGCGCCCCTCGGGCCAGCCCCCAGCGATATGAAGCCGCCCCCCTCAAGTATTGCAGCAGATCTTTCACGCGCGTGAACGGGCTGAAAGCAATAGGGAGGGAGCCATTCGGGCGCTTTAGACTTGCTGGCAGATCCCCAACGTCTAGCGCACCTACGCCTGGACTCGTCAAGCTGATGCTGCGAGACGAGGGCACGAACGATCGAAGGAGGGAGAGGAGGGGGGGGGGGAGAGGAGGGGGAGGACCACTCACCCTCGCGCGCGCGGGTCCGCCACGCTCCTCGGCGTCAATCACGTCGAGGGTGGCTCGGAGGGGCCTCGTCCTGACGTGCGTGGCCTTCCTCTCGATCTGGTAGACGGCCGTGCGAATCTCGTCGGCCACTCTCCAAGTCTCGGCCGCCTGGGCGGCCAACTCATCCACGCGTGTATTTCCGACGGCAAGCCAGACAGGGGCCTCCGAGGCGACAACTTGCTCTCCTGACAGGTGCGAGCTCACGAACAGAACCGAAACGTGGCCCAATCGGGCCCCAAGCTCACCACCTATTTTGTGCCACAGGTCCTCATGGACCCCTGCGGGCCGCACGTGAAGTCGTTCGTGAAAGCCCTTGGTCACGCAGCGCAACCAGTGACATATATATATATATATATATATATACATATATATATACTAAATGCTCGGCCGCGCACGCGAGGGCAAACAAAAAGGCCCGCAGCTGTCCGCGAGGCGCGGACTGTTCATCCCCAATCAGGGGCCCTTCCACCGCAGCCCGAATGCAACGCGGATCGTACGAGCTCAAAATGGCAATGGCCAGACCGACCCGTCGGAACCTGGGGCCCCCTGAATCTTTCCCTCCAGAAGCGTCTCCGAATACTACTATAGGTTGCGCGCCCGTGCCTCTACCCAGACAATGTCTGAGCTCGGAGCTGTTGGCGCCGGTCATACTCCAGACCCCCCCCCCCGGCGGCGGCGGGGCGCGGGTCCACGGCGCGCGGGTGAGGCCGCGAAGCGAAAAACAAGCGCCAGCTTCGTGCTGGGCAAAAGCAGCACTGATTGCATATTCAGAATTAACGTACGCCTTGGAACCTCGACTTTGGAAACACCCCCACGTCCTATGGAATTGTGTTCCAGGTTTGTCCTGACATCGAGC